GACGAATAATGGATTTATGACGCGCTCGTGTTAGGCTTCAAATACACGCATAACGGATTAAGGTCGTTGCCATGAAACTACGCGTCTAATGCACTCGGGCTCTTTATAATCTGTCGATTCATTGATATATGTAATGGATTGTCATAAATCCATTGTGATTTTAATCGGATTTATCGCTTCAAACATGTCCCGTTGCATTTATATGTAAAATAATTAGAATCGCAACGTACGAAGACAGAAAATAAAAGTTTATTAGTTAAATAAACTCATCGATCGATATGAAGAATTATATAACAGATGAGACTTGACCTAAACACTGTGATATAATTCGACATATTTTCTTCTCTTTTGTGCGTCGATGATATCAAATATCAATGACAGATCAACGTTATCCAGTAATTAACGTTCAACAGAAAAAGATAATAATTTGTTGTCTCTCATTTTACTAAGAACTCTCATTTAATTTCTTATCACTGAGTAGATTAGATTTTTGAAAAATGGGAATTCGCACTTCTTTATCTAAACTGATTCGAAGTACTTTATTATCAAGTAGTTGCGTACTGGCCTGATAGCGTGATGATATCAGCTTTTATAGCGCGGATTTTTCAGAAATAAATATAAAATTCAGACCCCGAGCGAGATGCGTATATGCTAATTCGCAGGAATTAGCGAACGGCATTGAGTAATGGAGAAAACTAGTAACTGTCACTCCGTTTCATGTAACAATGGCCAATAAAGTACACGGTGGCAATGGAACTTTTCTGTTCGTCTAAATTGTCCTAACGACTGACCTTCCTCCCGTTCACACTCTCTTATCTCCCTTCTGCGTCATACCACTGAAGGTTTGCCCTTGTTTGCTTTTAGATAACATTTGATATTAATGTAGCTCTTTATTAAGACTTTATTATTGTTTTAAATAAATACATGTATAAACTTTAACATATATATATATATATATATATATATATATATATATATAGGTTACAATAAATACAATATTTATAAATATCGTTTAGCGACGAAAATATAAGATCATATTTTCGCCATTAAATCTATATCTATATATTTATTAAATCTGTATCTATTTATATATATATATAAACAAATGTCCTGACTGAATCATCAACGCCCAGCCCAAACCTTTAAACCTAGGAACATGAAATTCGGAAAGTATATTCCTTCCATGACGTAAGCACCCACTAAAAAGGGATTTTTAGAAATTTGATCCCTAACGAGGTAAAAAGTCAATTTATAATTTTCAATATTTATGATATAAAATTACGTAATTTGGAACATTTTAAATATATTTAATATTTTGAAAATATTTATCTTTAAGAATATTCTTCAAGATTTAATTCGGCAAATATTAAAATTTATTTAATTTCAAATTCAATGTATAAGCGAATTATATATAATTAAACATGGTTTATAATAAAAATTTTTAAGAGAAACATTTCCTTAAATTAATCGTTCAAACGATACAAAATCTGTTCCAATCCGTATCTTTAATGCTAGTTAGAGAGTTCAATACTGCACCATTAGCATCGATTCCCGATCGGCGGAGCCGTTCTGCGGCTCGTTAAGACGACCGAAGTCGGCTTTTGCCTCGGATCTCCGAAGCATATACCCAGATAATTAATGGCAAGCGCATCGTGTGCAGCGGTGATAGGCGGACTACGCGAGCGGACTGCATCTCGCGCCTGCCACGGTCAAGACAGGTGCTATGGGGATCGGGCCGGTCCCGCGATCGCAGAGTTTGTACGTCGAATGAATAATGCGAGTGCACTTGCATCCCGGCGTTCGATCGTACCTACGTAGAAAGGAAGGTGAAATCGCCAGGGCGCACCCCGCGCACTGCCTCGGTATTAACCGCTTATATCGTCCGCCTGTGCTAGTGCACAAGTATGCATGATGCGATAGGTACGCACATGCACACACTCTCGCGTGTCGAGGATTACAAAAGAATAAGAGCTGCGTGCAGAAACAAAAGAAAAAGAAAAAGAAAGAAGAGAAAAAGAGAAAGAGAGAGAGAGAGAAAGAGAGAGAGAGAGAGAGAGAGAGAGAGAGAGAGAGAGAGTCTCGTAGGTATAAACTTCCATATGCCGAAACGCGGAGAGCGAGGAAAAGCTCGCATTCATTGCCCATCGGACTGCTTCCTAGCATCCCCGGTCTCATTCACGGGCAGCAGAACGTGGTTTGCAGAAAATTAACATTAGGCGGAGACGGGAGGTACCTGTATATATTTGCGGAACATATGTGAAACATGTATTTGCGAGCAGACATTCATTCGAAAGTCGGTTAGCAAAATCGGGATAAGAATGATCAGATAAAACACGTTATTTTCGAAATGATGGTTATTGATAACCATACAAAGTCAATAACTATACAAACCATCTGCAGTCGTTAATCAAGACGTCTTTTGAACTACTTCAATTCAGGCTGCCACCTGTAAATCATACAAGTTTTAAAAGTTTATCGAAGTATCGCAAATTTCTTTTAACTGTGTGTTTACTCCGAATAAGCAGCTCTCTTGAGATAGCAAAAAATTCGAAATAAGTTCCTTTATCGAATAAGCTATGTAAAAAATATAACAAGTAACAATATCCTTTTCATAGATAAATGATTTTATGCATATTATTTGCATATATGTATGATATACTTTTAATGAATGTCAAATAAGAGCGAATTTGAAATGCATTGCAGCTGTTATGACTAATATTCTGTCACCGTATATCCACCAGTTGACTTAATGATCCGAGTGAATCTATTCTCGATGCAGGACCTAAGTGCACACGAGGTAACATATTGGATGTTCACACGGTTAACAAGCATCTGAGCAAACAGTCTCCAACAGCCTTGACAAAGCAACTGTGACCCTTGCAATTTGGCAACTTCACTATTTGGAAAATTTATCGTGAAAGATCAAAATACTATTAAATTCTCTGTATCGCTTTTTTCTCGCATAAAATAATAAAATAATAAAACATAAAATATACATTCGGTAAAATAAGATTATCAACATCAGCGCGAAGCGTCACAACTCATAATGCGTGTAAATAATTCATATAAATATCTATTTTTTAACTGTTGTAAAAAACAAAGGTCGAATAGTTATTCTGTTATTGCGATCTTTATTTAGAAATCTATTTGTATTTGTATTTTTAACTTTAAAACATATTTGACAAATATATTTTAATAAACTAAGTATAGGCTCTCCTGAATAAATCAAATAAGGAATAGTAAGAGAGGCAATTGGAGCCACGCGTGATAACTATTGCGCAATCAATATACAGTCAATAAGATAAAATATATTAGTCAATATATATTCGTACGAATTTTATCTTATTGACTATATATTGATTGCGCGATGATTACCGCGCGTGGCTCCGATTGCCTCTCTCACTATTCCTTATTAAATATATTTTATATGTATAAAATATATTTTGTAACAACAATATATGTATATACGTGGCAATGTTTAAAAATGGCTATTAAATGTATAAGTATTATTGATGTTTACTGTCGAAGATACATTGAACCTCGAATGCATATATCCGTACAATGTTTACATAGTTTACAGTTAGATCATTAGAATATACAATTGCTCTTCATTATAGTTTCTCTTATTCCTATTATGAAATCAGTATCAAGTATCTTATATGAAGATTTATTATTAATAACAATTAGAAAGATATCGATCTTATTAAGAAATCTTTGTTCTGTGAATTATATCAACTCCAAAGATAGTTTGAAACAATTGAGATATGACTCTCTTAGAGGTTTTATTAATAATAATACTATCATTAATAATAATAACGTTTTAGAATTTGACTGGTTTCACAAACCTACTTTCTCAGGCCGGTATCTTAATTTTATGTCGCAGCACCCTGTTTCCCAAAAAAGAGGCACAATAATGAGCATGGTAGATAGAGCGTTTCTCTAATCACATCCAAAATTTCATTTTAAAAATATGAAATTTATTATTGACACACTTTTAGAGAATGACTATCCGTTGTCTTTTATTTTCAATACAATTAATATTAGAATTAAGTCTCTCCTTAATAGAAGCACACGCAGGCAAAATGAATCTTCACCGATTGATAGTGAAGAACAACGCATTTGGTTTACCATTTCTTACGTCTCATCGCGGGTAAATTTAAAAACGTCACTAAAGACTTGAATGTCAATCTTTCGTTTTTCAGCTTAAATAAAATGCGTAAATTTATTCGAGTACAGAAGGACACTCTCCCAATCCAATCCAATAAAACTTTAGTATATAAGATCTTATGTAAGAATTGCGATGCCTCATACGTGGGTCAAACAATGAGACAATTAAAAACCAGGATCTCTGAACATAGAAACCACATTCAAAGAAATACTACAACTCAATCCGTTATTACGGAACAGAGGATTAATTTTGACCATGATTTCGATTGGGAGAACATTGAGATACTAGACAAAGAGAGATTTCTATCTAAAAGACGAGTTTCGGAAATGGCGCATATTAAGTTACAGAAGAACAGTCTGAATTTACAAACTGATACAGAATTTCTTCACCACGCTTATGTATCTATACTAAACAAATTGTAAACCATGCTTATTGTTGTTGTATGTAATTATTAACTTTTTTATATATTTTACTGAAGATGGCTCAATGCGAGCAGAAACGTTTGAATATATATTCAATTGATGAAATCGCTTAGTTTTTTTACGCACTGACAACTGCGTCTGACTCCCATAGCTATTCCTAATTTTTAATTAAGAAAAAAATATGAGCAATAAATTCATTAGTGCGCTTTGTATGAATTTCATCAGAAATTGTGTTGCTCGTTTTTTATTCTAATAATTAGAGATAATAAGAAAGGCTGATATGAAAATGTTGTGACGAAGTCGTATTGATCGGAATGACTCTTAGCGAAACTTTCCAAAACAAGGTGACACAGTGATAAGCCGAGCGATAAGCGACTATTGCGTGTTAAATATAGTGTATTTAAGTGCCGATCACTCGTTATACCGGCACATCTCGAGTTACCTTTTTACTAGCAACACAGCGTGGTTTTCGAGTGCAAAATAAGCCAAAATGTCAGCGTACAAGTACATAGCCGGTTCGGCTTTTCTGGTCACCGTTCTGTTGACCGTCAACACCGTACTCGCTAATGGATCTAACAATTCCTATGCTCCCGCCAACGAGTTATACAGATCAAGTCTGATTGTCGGTTCCAGAGTGCCCGGCGACAGACTCGCTGTTCTGCAGAGAATCGAAAGATATCCTAGCTCGGGAAGGGTCCAGGTTATTGAGAAGACCTTTGATGTCTCAAGGTGGGGACGTATCACTCTGCTTGAAGCATTGGACCAGACGCCGTATGGCGCGTACGTTAGTATTCTGAGAGGTGGACTTGGACAGAACTACGTCACCCTGAAGTTCCAGAGTCAGAGGGGTCAAAGCATTAAGTACCTTCTTCAGATTTTTGCACGGTCTTATTAACCACAGTGGGAGCAGTTCTTATGACTGATGGTATGATGATTCTTGGATGCAATTAGGATGAAGAAGTAAAATAATCTTAAAAGCTACATCAACTTATAGTATGTTCTGACCTATTTATTTTTTTATTGCCACAGAAATATTATTGCAACAACTGTCATCATTGCTGCTAAAAGAAGACACGTCACTAAATATTCCTTTTATTCACTTTAATTGTTTGATATCTTGTATATATCACTAATAAATCAACGTAATTGATGTAATTGTGTGTTTTCCTTACAAATTCTCAAGTACATATACTTATAAATTCGCAATATAAAACGTAAACTATTTATAATAAATTTTAATAACGCATGCAGTATATATCAAACTATATAATAACATTCTATAAAATGTACCACTTATCGTTCATGTTCCTCTATTTATGAGTCAAATAAATACGCCCCTTTCACGCACTTAATTATATCTTCTAATTGTATTCTCTAATTTCTAACTATTATTGTAACAACTAATTAATAATTAAATAATTAATTGCTAATTATTTCGCTAATTATAAGAAATTTGTGTACACGTCTCAAAGAACACCAGAGCGATATCAAAAAACAGACGAATAACCATTCTGTAGTGAGTAAGCATGGAACATTCTTTGGGGATGATTTTGATTGAGAAAAGCCAAAAATAATACATAAAGAAAGACAAATTAGAAAGAGGGTATTAGCGGAGACGTTTTTTATTAAGAAATTTAATGAGAGACACCATTAACTTACAAAAAGACACAGAGAATCTTAACGCTCTCCATGAACATATTAAAAAAAAAAAAACATAATTTCCTTTCCTTCTTCTCTGTTTCCCTCGGCTCTGACATGTCCTTCGACATAAACGACTAACGAAGATGCCGTTTAACATGTATTTTACCTCTGTAATTTTAACAAATATATAAGCTTTTGATTTATATACTTATTTATGAATTTATACTTATTGTTGCGTGTTTCAATTGTTGATGTTTAGTTTTTAGATTCGGCGTAGTTTGGGCATTATGTCTGACTGATAAATATTTGTGAGTTGTTTCTATACGCTTGAAAAGGATCGAAATCTGCGGTCGAAACATAGCGTTTTGTGATTAATAAAATTTGCCAGTTGGGTCGATCATAATATCTTTGCTAATTGTTAATTATTCACTGGCGATTCAAGTTCTCTGTTTTATTATTTAAAATACAATTAACTTCTCTGTATCTTTTTTTCTCGCATAAAATAATAAAACATAAAATATACATTCGTTAAAAAAAGATTATCATCAGCGCGAAGCGTCACAACTCATAATGCGTGTAAATAATTCGTATAAATATCTATTTTTTAACTGTTGTAAAAAATAAAGGTCGAATAGTTATTCTGTTATTGCTATCTTTATATAGAAATCTATTTGTATTTGTATTTTTAACTTTAAAACATATTTGATAAATATATTTTAATAAACTAAGTATAGGCTCTCCTGAATAAAACAAATAGGAAATAGTGAGAGAGGCAATTGGAGCCACGCGTGATAACTATTGCGCAATCAATATACAGTCAATAAGATAAAATATATTAATCAATACATATTCGTACGAATTTTATCTTATTGACTATATATTGATTGCGCGATAATTACCGCGCGTAGCTCCACCCCCCCCCCCCATTTCCACTCTTACGATTTCCTATTAAATATATTTTATATGTATAAAATATATTTTGTAACAACAATATATGTATATACGTGGCAATGCTTAAAAATAGCTATTAAATGTATAAGCATTATTGATGTTTACTGTCGAAAATACTTTGAATCTCGAATGCATATATGCGTACAATGTTTATATTGTTTACAAATAGATCATTAGAATATACAATTGCCCTTCATTATAGTTTCTCTTATCCTTATTATGAAATCAGTATCAAGTAGCTTATATGACGATTTATTATTAATACAATTAGAAAAATATCGATCTTATTAAGAAATCTTTGTTCTGTGAATTATATCAATTCCAAAAATAGTTTGGGACAATTGAGATATGACTCTCTTGGAGGTTTCATAATATTTGGACAATAAAAATATTGATTTAGCATATCGATAACACTTGTGTCTGTAATCGATAGATCATATCTCACAATAAAAACGTATATATACGTGAATATGTAAATAATAATGATTGAAATATCACCAACGCGTCTAATTAAAGATTTAATTAAAATAATTATCGATTACACACTGTACAAGGAATACTGGTCAATTTGCGCATGTGCTATCATACATTTCTAGTCGCTTTAAATTTAATTTATGATAATAAATTAATTTACTTTTTATTATTAAATATTAATATTTTCTTCATCAGTATTACAAAGCGCACTAATAAAATTATCGCAAAATTATAATATTTTTTTCTTAATTACTTTACAATTTTATTACGAGTAATTTTATATTATTTTATAAAATGATATACAATTACTCGTAATGAAATTGTAAAGCAATTAAGAAAAAGATATGAGCGATAATTTCATTAGCGCGCTTTGTATGAATTTTATCAGAAATTGTGTTGCCCGTTTTTTATTTTAATAATTAGATATAATAAGAAAGGTTGGTCTGAACGTGTTGTGACGAAGTCGTATTGATAGGAATGACTCTTTCGCGAAACTTTCCAGAACAAGGTGACACAGAGATGATAAGGCGAGCGATAAGCGACAATTGCGTGTTAAATATAGTGTATTTAAGTGCGGATCACTCGTTATACCGGCACATCTCGAGTTACCTTTTTACTAGCGATACAGCGCGGTTTTCGAGTGCGAAATAAGCCAAAATGTCGGCGTACAATTACATACCAGGTTTGGCCTTTCTGGTCACCATTCTGTTGACCATCAACACCGTATCCGCTAATGGATCTATCGATTCCTATGCTCCAGCCTACCAGGCATCAAATAATCTGATTGCCGGCTCCAGGGTGCCCGGCGACAGACTCGTTTACCTGGAGAGAATCGTCAAAAATTCTAGCTGGGGAAAAGTTCAAGTTATTGAAAGGACCTTTGATGTCTCGAGATGGGGACGTATCACTCTGATTGAAGCATTGGACCAGACGCCGTATGGCGCGTACGTTAGTATTCTGGAAGGTGGACTCGGACACAACTACGTCACCATGAAGTTCCAGAGTCAGAAGGATCACAGCATTAAGTTCCTTTTTCAGCTTTTTGCACGGCCTAATTACCCATAGTGGAAGCAGTTCTTATGACTGGTATGATGATTCCTGGATGCAATCAGAATAAAGAAGTATAACAATTTTAAAAGCTATATCAACCTAGTATGTTCTGACTTATTTATTATTTTATTGCCACAGAAATATTATTGCAACAACTGTCATCATTGCTTCTAAAACAAGACACGTCACTGAATATTCCTATTATTCACTTTAATTGTTTGATATCTTGTATATATCACCAATAAATCAACGTAATTGATACGTAATTGATATGTGTTTTTCTTAAAAATTCTCAAGTACATATACTTATAAACTCGCAATATAGAACATAAATTATTTATAATCAATTTTAATAACGCGTGCAGTGTATCAAACTATAATAACATTCTATAAAATGTACAACTTATCGTTCATGTTCTTCTATTTATAAGTTATGATTTAAATAAATACGCCCCTTTCACGCATTTAATTATATCTTTTAATTGTATTCTCTAATTTCTAACTATTATTATAACAACTAATGACTAATTAAATAATTAATTGTTAATTATTTCACTAATTATATTCCTGTCGTCTCCAACTTGAATATTGCAATACGAGGTAAGAGGAATAAGTGTAACGGTACACAAGATCAATTGTAAAAATTGCAATGCTACGTATATTGGACAGACAAAAAGACAATTGTGCACACGTTTCAAAGAACACCAAAGCGATATCAGAAAACAGGCGAATAAGCATTTTATAGTAAGTGAGCAATGTGAACATCGAACATTTTTTGGGGATGATTTTGATTGGAAAAAGCCAGAAATAATACATAAAGAGAGACAGATTAGAAAGAGGGAATTAGCGGAGAAGTTTTTTATTAAGAAATTTGATGACACCATTAACTTACAAAAAGACACGGAGAATCTTAATGCTCTCTACGAACACATTATAAAAGAAACATCATTTCCTCTTTTTCTTTTTTGTTTCTCTCTCTACGTCTTAGCTTTTATTATTGACGACACTGGTTTGTTTTTATTGCTTATCCGGTTTATCAGTTTAAATTTTACCACCGCACGGCTTTGACATGTCCTTCGACAAAAAAGCGACTAACGAAAATGCCGTTTAACCGGTATTTTACCTCTATGATTTTAACGCACAAATATGTAAGCTTCTGATTTATATATTTATTTATGGATTTATACTTATTGTTGCGTGCTTTAATTGTTGATGTTTAGTTTTTAGATTCGGAGTAGTTTGGGCATTATGTCTGACTGATTGATATTTGTAAGTTGTTTCTGTACGCTTGAAAAGGACCGAAATCTCTGCGATCGAAACGTAGCGTTTTGTGATCAATAAAATTTTCCAGTTAGGTTGATCATAATACCTTTGCTAATTGTTAATTATTCACTGACGATTCAAGTTCTCTGTTTTTGTTTTTAAAATACTATTAACTCTGTGTCGTTCTTTTCTCGCATAAAATAATAAATCATAAAATATACATTTGTTAAAAAGAAATTATCAGCAGCGCGAAGCGTCACAACTCATAATGTGTGTAAATAATTCATATAAATATCTATTTTTTAACTGTTGTAAAAAACAGAGGTCGAATAGTTATTTTGTTATTGCGATCTTTATATAGAAATCTATTTGTATTTATATTTTTAGAGATAAGATAAAATATATTAGTCATACATATTCGTACGAATTTTATCTTATTGACTATATGTTGATTGCGCAATAATTACCGCACGTGGCTCCGATTGTCTTTCTCACTACTCCCTATTAAATATATTTTATATGTACAAAACATATTTTGTAACAACAATATTTGTATATACGTGGCAATGCTTAACAATGGCTATTAAATGTATAAGTATTATTGATGTTTACTGTCGAAGATACATTGAATCTCGAATGCATATATGCATTCGCATGCTGCATGTACAATGTTTATATAGTTTAGAGATAAATCATTAGAATATATAAATATGCTCTTCATTATAGTTTCTTTTATCCCTATTATAAAATCAATATCAAGTATCTTATATGACAATTTATTATTAATAACAATTGTCAATAACATTTAGAAAGATATCGATCTTATTAAAAAATCTTTGTTTTGTGAAATATATCAATTCCAAAGATAGTTTGAGACAATTAAAATATGACTCTCTTGGAGGTTTCATAATATTTAGTCGATAAAAATATTGATTTAGTATATCGATAACACTTGTGTCTATACTCGATAAATCATACCTCAGAATAGAAACGTATATATACGTGAACGTGTGAATAATAATGATTGCAATCTCTCCAACGCGTATAATTAAAGATTTAATTAATATCGATCACACACTGTACAGGGAATACCGGTCAACTTGCGCATGTGCTATTGTATATTTCTAATCGCTTAAAATTTAATTTATGATAATAAATTAATTTACTTTTTATTATTAAATATTAATATTTTTTTCATCAGTATTACAAAGTGCACTAATAAAATTATCGCGAAATTATCATATTTTTTCTTAATTATTTTACAATTTCATATACAAGTAATTTTATATTATTTTAAAAAAATATGATAATTTCGCGATAACTTCATTAGTGCGTTTTGTATGAATTTCATCAGAAAATGTGTTGCTTGTTTCTTATTCTAATAATTAGAGGTAATAATTAGAGATAATAAAAAAGATTTGTCTGAACGTGTTGTGACGAAGTCGTATTGATCGGAATGATCCATTCGCGAAACTTTCCAAAACAAAGTGACACAGAGATGTAATCATGATAAGCCGAGCGATAAACGATTATTGCGTGTTAAATATAGTTTATTTAAGCGCCGATCACTCGTTATACCGGCACACCTTGAGTTACCTTTCTACTAGCGATACAGCGCGATTTTCGAGTGCGAAATAAGTCAAAATGTCGGCGTACAAGTACATAGTCGGTTTGGCCTTTCTGGTCACCATTCTGTTGACCATCAACACCGTACTCGCTAATGGATCTATCGATTCCTATGCTCCCGCCAACAAGTCATACAGTTCAAATCATCTGATTGTCGGCTCCAGGGTGCATGGCGACAGACTCGCCCTCCTGCAGAGAATCGAAAAAAATTCTAGCTGGGAAAAGGTTCAGGTTATTGAGAAGACCTTCGATGTCTCGAGGTGGGGACGTATCACTATGATTGAAGCATTGGACCAGACGACGTATGGCGCGTACGCTAGTATTCTGAGAGGTGGACTCGGACACAACTACGTCACCATACAGTTCAGGAGTCAGAGAGGTCACAACATTAAGTTCCTCGTTCAGCTTTTTGCACGGTCTTATTAACCACAGTGGAAGCAGTTTTTATGACTGGTATGATGATTCCTGGATATAATTAAGATAAAAAAGTAAAATAATTTTAAAAGCTACATCAACCTAGTATGTTTTGACCTATTTATTATTGCAACAATTGTTGCTGCTAAAAGAAGACATGTCACTGAATATTCCTGTTATTCACCTTAATTGTTTGATATCTTGTATATATTACCAATAAATCAACGTAATTGATGTAATTGTGTGTTTTTCTTAAAAATTCTCAAGTACATATACTTATAACCTCGCAATATAGAACATAAACTTTTTAAATAAATTTTAATAACGCGTGTAGTGTATCAAACTAATAACATTCTATAAAATGTACAATTTATTGTTCATGTTTCTCTATTTATGAGTCAAATAAATACGCTCCTTTCACGGATTTAATTATATCTTCTAATTGTTTTCTCTAATTTCTAACTGTTATTATAACAACTAATGACTAATTAAATAATTAATTGCTAATTATTTCGTTAATTATATTCCTGTCGTCTTCAACTCGAATATTGCGATACGAGGTAAGAGGAATAAGTGTGACGGTACACAAGATCAATTGTAAAAATTGCAATGGTACGTATATTGAGCAGATAAAAAGACATTTGTGCACACGTCTCAAAGAACACCAGAGCGATATTAGAAAACGGGCAAATGAGCATTTTGTAGTAAGTGAGCAATGTGAGCATCGAACATTCTTTGGGGATGATTTTGATTGGGAAAAGCCAGAAATACTACATAAAGAGAGACAGATTAGAAAGAAGGAATTAGCGGAGAGGTTTTTTATTAAGAAATTTGATGACACCATTAACTTACAAAAAGACACGGAGAATCTTAATGCTCTCTACGAACATATTATAAAAGAAACATAATTTTTTCTCCTTCTTCTCTGTTTCCCTCTCTACGCCTTAGATTTTATTGTTGACGACACTGGTTTGTTTTTATTGCTTGTCCGGTTTATCAGTTTAAATTTTACCACCGCACGGCTCTGACACGTCCTTCGACATAAACGACTAACGAAAATGCCGTTTAACATGTATTTTACCTCTGTGATTTTAACGCACAAATATGTAAGTTTTTAATTTATATACTTATTTATGGATTTATACTTATTGTTGCGTGCTTCAATTTTTGATGTTCAGTTTTTAGATTCGGCGTAGTTTGAGCATTATGTCTGACTGATTAATATTTGTGAGTTGTTTCTATACACTTGAAAAGAACCGAAATATGCGGTTGAAACGTAACGTTTTGTGATCAATAGAATTTGCCAGTTGGGTCGATCATAATACTTTTGCTAATTGTTAATTATTCACTGGCGATTCAAGTTCTCTGTCTTTGTTTTTAAAGTACTATTAACTTCTCTGTATCTTTTTTTCTCGCATAAAATAGTAAAACATAAAATATACATTCGTTAAAAAAAGATTATTATCAGCGCAAAGCGTCACAACTCATAATGCGTGTAAATAATTCATATAAATATCTATTTTATAATTGTTGTAAAAAACAAAGGTTGAATAGTTATTCTGTTATTGCGATCTTTATATACAGAAATCTATTTGTATTTATATTTTTAACTTTAAAACATATTTGATAAATATATTTTATATGTATAAAATATATTTTGTAACAACAATATATGTATATACGTGGAAATGCTTAACAATGGCTATTAAATGTATAAATATTATTGATGTTTACTGTCGAAGATACATTGAATCTCGAATGCATACAGTGCGTAGGTACAATGTTTATTTAGTTTACAGGTAGATCATTAGAATATATAAATGCCCTTCATTGTAATTTGTCTCATCCCTATTATGAAATCAGTATCAAGTATCTTATATGACGATTCATTATTAATAACAATTATCAATAACATTTAAAAAGATACCGATCTTATTAAGAAATCTTGTTCTGTGAATTAAATTTTCAAAGATAGCTTGAGACAATTGAGATATGACTCTCTTGGAGGTTTTATAATATTTGAACGATAAAAATATTGATTTAGTATAGTGATAACACTTGTGCTTACTCGATGAATCATACCTCAGAATAAAAACGTATATATACGTGAATTTGTGAATAATAATGATTGCAATATCTCCAACGCGTCTAATTAAAGATTTAATTAAAATAATTATTGATTACACATATACTGTACAGGGAATACCGGTCAAATTGCGCATGTGGCATCAGATATTTCTAGTCGCTTTGAATTTAATTTATGATAATAAATTAATTTACTTTTTATTAAAAAATATTAATATTTTCTCCATCAGTAAAATGATATAAAATTACTCGTAATAAAATTGTGAAGTAATTAAGAAAAAATGAGTGATAATTTCATTAGTCCGCATTGTATTAATTTCATCAGAAATTGTGTTGCTCGTTTTTTATGTTAATAATTACAGATAATAAGACAGATTTGTCTGAACGTGTTGTAACAAAGTCGTATTGATCGGAATGACTCTTTCGCGGAACGTATCTTTCCAGAACAAGGTAGCACACCAGAGATGTAATCATGATAAGCCGAGCGATAAGGGATTATTGCGTGTATTTAAGCGCCGATCACTCGTTATGCCGGCACATCTCGAGTTACCTTTCTACTAGCGATACAGCGCGGTTTTCGAGTGCGAAATAAGCCAAAATGTCGGCGTACAAGTACATAGCCGGTTTGGCCTTTCTGGTCACCGTTCTGTTGACCATCAACACCGTACCCGCTAATGGATCTATCGATTCCTATGCTCCCGCCAACAAGTCACATCATCTGATTGTCGGCTACAGGATGCCCGGCGACAGACTCGTCCTCAAGGACAGAATCATCAAAAATTCTAGTTGGATGAAGGTTGTAACTGTTGAGAAGACTTTCAATGTCTCGAGGTGGGAACGTATCACTATGGTTGAAGCATTGGACCAGAAGACAAATGGAAACGGCGCGCACGCTACTGTTCTGAAAGGTGGACCCGGACACAACAACGTCACCTTGAAGTTCAAGAGTCAGAGGGGTCACAGCATTAACTTCGTCGTTCAGCTTTATGCACGACCTTAATTAACCACAGTGGAAGCAGTTCTTACGACTGGTATGATGATTCCTGGGTGCAATTAAAATAAAGAAGTAAAATAATTTTAAAAGCTACATCAACCTAGTACGTTCTGACCTATTTATTATTGCAACAACTGTCACCATTGCTGCTAAAAGAAGACATGTCACTGAATATTCCTGTTGATCACTTTAATTGTTTGATATCTTGTATATATCATCAATAAATCAACGTAATTGATGTAAAAATGTGTGTTTTTCTTATACATATACTTATAAATTCGCAATATAAAACATAAACTATTTATAATAATTAAATTTTAATAACGCATGCAGTATATATCAAACTAATAACATTCTATAAAATGTACAACTTATAGTTCATGTTCCTCTATTTATGAGTCAAATAAATACGCCCCTTTCACGCATTTAATTATATCTTCTAAATGTTTTCTCTAATTTATAACTATTATTATAACAACTAATTACTAATTAAATAATTAGTTCCTAATTATATTCCTGTCATCTTCAACTCGAATATTGCGATACGAGGTAAGAAGAATAAGTGTGACGGTACACAAGATCAATTGTAAAGATTGCAATGCTACATGTTGGGCAGACAAAAAGACATTTGTGCACACGTCTCAAAGAACATCAGAACGATATCAGAAGAGATTATCATCAGCGCAAAGCGTCACAACTCATAATGCGTGTGAATAATTTATATAAATATATATTTCTTAACTGTTGTAAAAAACAAAGGTCGAATAGTTATTCTGTTATTGCGATTTTTATATAGAAATCTATTTGTATTTGTATTTTTAACTTTAAAACACATTTGATAAATATATTTTATATGTATAAAACATATTTTGTAACAACAATATTTGTATATACGTGGAAATGCTTAACAATGGCTATTAAATGTATAAATATTATTGATGTTTACTGTCGAAAATACACTGAATCTCGAATGCATGTATGCGTACAATGCTTATATAGTTTATAGGTAGATCATTAGAATATATAAATGCCCTTCATTATAGTTCCTCTCATCCCTATTATGAAATCAGTATCAAGTATCTTATATGACGATACATTATTAATAACAATTATCAATAACATTTAGAAAGATATCAATCTTATTGAGAAATCTTGTTCTGTGAATTATATCAATTCCAAAGATAGCCTGAGACAATTGAGATATAACTCTCTTGGAGGTTTTATAATATTTGGACGATAAAAATATTGATTTAGTATACCGATAACACTTGTGTCTACTCGATGAATCATACCTCAAAATAAAAACGTATATATACGCGAATTTGTGAATAATAATGATTGCAATATCTCCAACGCGTCTAATTAAATATTTAATTAAAATAATTATCGATTACACACTGTACAGGGAATTCCGGGCAATTTGCGCATGTGCATGCTATCATATATTTCTATAGTTGCTTCAAATTTAATTTATGATAATAAATTAATTTACTTTTTATTATTAAATATTAATATTTTCTCCATCAGTAAAATGATATAAAATTACTCATAATGAAATTGTAAAGTAATTAAGAAAAAAATATGAACAATAATTTCATTAGTGCGCTTTGTATGAATTTCATCAGAGTTTGTGTTGCTCGTTTTTTATTCTAATAATTAGAGATAATAAGAAAGGTTTGTTTGAACGTGTTGTGACGAAGTCGTATTGATCGGAATGACTCTTTCGCGGAACGTATCTTTTCAGAACAAGGTGGCCCACCAGATATGTAATCATGATAAGCTGAGCGATAAGGGATTATTGCGTGTATTTAAGCGCCGTTCACTCGTTATACCGGCACACCTCGAGTTACCTTTCTACTAGCGATACAGCGCGGTTTTCGAGTGCGAAATAAGCTAAAATGTCGGCGTACAAGTACATAGCCGGTTTGGCCTTTCTGGTCACCGTTCTGTTGACCATCATCACCGTACCCGCTAATGGATCTATCGATTCCTATGCTCCCGCCAACAAGTCACATCATCTGAGAGTCGGCTACAGAATGCCCGGCGACAGACTCGTCCTCAAACAGAGTATCGTCAAGAATTCTGGCTGGCAGAAAGTCCAGATTGTTGAGAAGACCTTCAATGTTTCGAGGTTCGATCGTATCACTATGGTTGAAGCATTGGATCAGAAGACGAATGGAACCGGCGCATACGCTAGTATTCTAAGAGGTGGACCTGGACACAACAACGTCACCTTGAAGTTCAAGAGTCAGAGGAGTCACGGCATCAACTTTGTCGTTCAGCTTTATGCACGACCTTAATTAACCACAGTGGAAGCAGTTCTTACGACTGGTATGATAATTCCTGGATGCAATTAGGATGAAGAAGTAAAATAATTTTAAAGCTACATCAACCTAATATGTTTTGACCTATTTATTATTGCAACAACTGTCACCATTGCTGCTAAAAGAAGACATGTCACTGAATATTTCTGTTATTCACTTTAATTATTTGATATCGTGTATATATCACCAATAAATCAACGTAATTGATGTAAATGTGTGTTTTTCTTATACATATACTTATAAATTCGCAATATAAAACATAAACTATTTATAATAATTAAATTTTAATAACGCATGCAGTATATATCAAATTAATAACATTTTATAAAATGTACAACTTATAGTTCATGTTTCTCTATTTATGAGTCAAATAAATACGCCTTTCACGCATTTAATTATATCTTCTAATTGTATTCTTTAATTTCTATTATTATAACTAATTCCTAATTAAATAATTAATTGCTAATTATATTTCTGTCATCTTCAACTCGAATATTGCAATACGAGGTAAGAGGAATAAGTAAGACGGTACACAAGATCAATTGTAAAGATTGCAATGCTACGTATATTGGGCAGACAAAAAGACATTTGTGCACACGTCTCAAAGAACACTGCAGAGCGATATCAGAAGAGATTATCATCAGCGCAAAGCGTCACAACTCATAATGCGTGTAAATAATTTATATAAATATCTATTTTTTAACTGTTGTAAAAAACAAAGGTCGAATAGTTATTCTGTTATTGCGATTTTTATATAGAAAATCTATTTGTATTTGTATTTTTAATTTTAAAACATATTTGATAAATATATTTTATATGTATAAAATATATTTTGTAACAACAATATTTGTATATATACGTGGAAATGCTTAACAATGGCTATTAAATGTATAAATATTATTAATGTTTACTGTCAAAAATACACTAAATCTCGAATGCATGTATACGTACAATGTTTATATGTATAGTTTACAGATAGATCATTAGAATATATAAATGCCCTTCATTATAGTTTCTCTTATTCCTATTATAAAATCAGTATCAAGTATCTTATATGACGATTCATTATTAATAACAATTATCAATAACATTTAGAAAGATATCAATCTTATTTTAAGAAATCTTGTTCTGTGAATTAGTTCCAAAGATAGCCTGAGACAATTGAGATATGACTCTCTTGGAGGTTGTATAAAATTTGGACGATAAAAATATTGATTTAGTATATCGATAACACTTATGTCTATACTCGATAGATCATACCTCAGAATAGAAACGTATATATACGTAAATATGTGAATAATAATGATTGCAATATTTCCAACGCGTTTAATTAAAGATTGAATTAAAATAATTATCGATTTCACACTGTACAAGGAATACTGGTCAATAATAATAAGAAAAATAAGACCGTTACGATATACAATCAAATTAGAATCAAAAGCCATACGATCCAAACTTAGGTCTTTGACAGCCTTATATTAGAATACTAATCAATTTGCGCATGTACTATCATATATTTCTAGTCGCTTTGAACTTAATTTATAATAATAAATTAATTTAATTTTTATTATTACTAGATATCACTGACGCGCGCTACGCGCGCGCTATTTATTTTTGATATTTTACTGTTATTATTATACTATTAACCACACAACTGTCAAAATATGCCATGACAGCCGCTCATGAAGTAAGTGCAATAAGAGAACCAATCGGCATCGCGGAAAAGCGACAATATTTCGATAGATTCGAGTATCGATGATATTTTCTTTTTAAAAGAGAAAAATATTAATATTTTCTCCATCAAGAGAAAGGATATAAAATCAATAAAATTGTAAAGTAATTAAGAAAAAAATATGAGCGATAATTTCATTAGTGCGCTTCATGTATGAATTTCATCAAAACTTGTGTTGCTTGTTTTTTTATTCTAATAATTAGAGATAATAAGGAAGGTCCCAGGTAGCACATATTAGTTTCATATATGTTTTTTTAATACATAGTTTCATAAACCGTAAAGAACCATTAAGAAACGTTTGAACAAAAATGTTTTTGAAACCATGATTTAAGAAACGTATTTTTTTACGTTTCTATACTTAACAAAAATACCTATTTGTTAAATTTTTCCTTTCAAAATTATAATTTGCTTTATCTATATATATTATAGCTTTAATAGCTTTTTTTTGAAACATTTAAATTTATATTGCACTAATTATTAATGCACAAAATAAATCATTTTATCCACGCACATATATTCACTTATTTAGTTAAATTAATTTTGTCCTACCGGTTTTAATCTATTTGTCATCGGACAAATCTGAGCTTAGAAAACTTCCAACAGTTCCAAAATAAACGTTCTGCTAAACTTGGTCATTGAAAGAACATTTATACGTGTATTCCGTTTTGAAGAACTTTCTGAACTGGTGCACATCAGTAATGCAATTAAGTTAGAGTGAGACAATTATATTTTGTTTCACTTTAACTTATTGCACGAATGTGCACCAGTTCAGGAATTTCTTCGAAAAAGAATAGACGTCATAGATGGTATCGGAATGACTCTTTCGCGGAACGTATCTTTCCAGAACAAGGTGGCACACCAGAGATGTAAAATCATGATAAGCCGAGCGATAAGCGATTATTGCGTGTATTTAAGCGCCGATCACTCGTTATACCGGCACACTTTGAGTTACCTTTCTACTAGCGATACAGCGCGGTTTTCGAGTGCAAAAATAAGCCAAAATGTCGGCGTTCAAGTACATAGCCGGTTTGGCCTTTCTGGTCACCGTTCTGTTGACCATCAACACCGTACCCGCTAATGGATCTGTCGATTCCTATGCTTCCGCCAACCAGGCATCACATCATCTGATTGTCGGCTTCAGGATGCCCGGCGACAAACTCGTCCTTAAAGAAAACATCGTCAAGAATTCTGGCTGGATGCAAGTCAAGGTTATTGAGAAGACCTTCAGTGTTCCGAGAGGGGAACGTATCACTTTGATTGAAGCATTGGACCAGAAGACGAATGGAAACGGCGCGTACGCTAGTATTAAGGGAGGTGGACCCGGACACAACAACGTCACCATGAAGTTCAAAAGTCAGAGGAGTCACGGCATTAACTTCGTCCTTCAGCTTTATTCACGACTTTAACTGACCACAGTGGAAGCAGTTCTTACGACTGGTATGATGATTTCTGGATGCAATTGAGATGAAGAAGTAAAATAATTTGAAAGCTACATCAACTTAGTATGTTCTGACCTATTTATTATTGCAACAACTGTCACCATTGCTGCTAAAAGAAGACATGTCACTGGTGAATATTCCTGTTATTCACCTTAATTGATTGATATCTTGTATATATCACCAATAAATCAACGTAATTGATGTAATTGTGTGTTTTTCTTAAAAATTCTCCAGTACATATACTTATAAACTCGCAATATAGAACATAAACTATTTATAATAAATTTTAATAACGCATGCAGTACATATCAAACTAATAACATTCTATAAAATGTACAACTTATTATCGTTCATGTTCCTCTATTTATGAGTCAAATAAATACGCCTTTCACGCATTTAATTATATCTTCTAATTGTATTCTTTAATTTTTAACTATTATTACAACAACTAATTACTAATTAAATAATTAATTGCTAATTATTTCGCTAATTATATTCTTGTCGTCTTCGGCTCGAATATTGCGATACGAGGTAAGAGGAATAAGTGTGACGAGCGTTAAAGAAGGAATCTGGAAGAAGTGTCGATAGTAATGCAATTAGCGCCGAAGCGAAACGCGACAACGATTCGGAGTAAAAACGGACCGCGAAGAATCCACTCGTGGAATGCCTTTCTTGTATGCGCTAATCAAGCGCCGCGCGCTTCCCTTTAAGATTCTCGATAATTCGCCCTTTTTTTTATTTCCTCGAAGCGGTATGCTCGTTGGGCTGAAGTTCGGGGTGGTCGTCTCCAAAGAGCCGCGCGGGGGGCAACTGGCACGGGGTACAAGGAAACGGAGAGGAACATCTTCTATTTCCGAGGCTTACGTACAAAGTACGTTTTGCGCATGCATGCACGGTGGCACGGAGGAGGAACAACCAACTGGAAAATTGTTGTCGCTTCGTGGCGCATTCTCTAGCACAGGGTATCCCGCCGGCTAGGAGAAACTTCGAATCGAGTTGAGGACCACTGGAAATTGGTGGCGGTATCTCAAGCTTGCGAACGACCATTTCGTTAACCTACTTATTCTACCTCCCCATTCCGGTCGCGTTACCCGTGAAGCCACGTCGGAGTACCTAGTTCGTCCGCAGTTTCCGCTTCTGAAAACTACGCGCGGAAGGGAGAAGCGTAATTCGCGGTTCTACATGGTGGCTCTTCATTGATTACGTTTTAATGGATCTCATCGGGGTGGGGTCCGATCGGCGCGGTGCGATTCTCGCGCTCTCGACAATCCTCTGTTTCCGATGTGTAAGCGAAGTAATCGGCTACTTCGAATACTCGAGCGTGTGGAGCACCCCGCGCCGTGCCGAGTACCGTCACACTGTCCCAGTTCTGTCACAAACGAAGACAGGATGCAAAGAGATTATATTTGTGGACTAGACAACTAGAAACATATGCAATTTTTATATGTAAAAATTCAGGTCGAAAAAACGAGATTATAAACGTAACATTAGAGTATATTTAGTTACGGAAAAATATGTTTTTACAGAGAAAAATCTGTTTAAAATATTATTAATTCATATTCATTATAATTACTTTGACATTTATTAATCGAATCCTGCAAAAATCATATTTTTAGTCGAGTTAAAATGTCTTGAGATAAGGTAGGTGACGTCACATGTGCAAACAGTAGCCAGGTGTTTAACGATTGTCATGTTATTAAAACAATGATAAGCGTGTTTAAACATACACTCTGTATGCGTATTACATACATATGTATGCATCATATGATATGTATCAGAGCAGTTATAATCTTTTCTAAGCCATGCTTGATATCTAATCGAGTTAAATAATAACAGACCTACTTCTTCATCATCGGTTAAAGAAAAATATGATTTAATGCAATCGCTTGCACATGGTATCGCGCCATACTTATCATTCATATCAAGACTGACACTTTTATTTATGGAATACGAAGTCCGTGAATCTAGCTATGTGGTTTAGAAAGAAAAACTGAGACTTTAAGTTCTTTCTAGTATCTAGTCAGATTCTAAATATGAATACGTAGATCCGCATTAATGTTACACCGCGGCTATTCTGATGAAAAAACGAGGTCTAAAGTGCTATATCTGAGCACTCGAGGGTATAAAATCGGAGTGTCCTGGGAATCGCGACATGTGTGACAGTGAATAAGAAAGATAGTATTATTTCCGTTGTAATAACATAAAAATAGGAATGGTTATAAACGAGTGCTATATTTGTTCTTTGACGTGCATACGAAGTACGCACGTACTTGTCGATCCACGGCTCTAGACTGTCCAAGTGTACTGTCGCATTCTTTTTTGTCGCGACGTCAATCGCGACTGACTCATGGTCGTATATAAGTATATTTCAATATATACGCAAGTAGAGAATACGTGTGTTATATCATTTTTTTATAAATTAAAATTTTAAACTTTTTGAGGCACAAATGCAGCTACGTTGCAAAATTTGATTTAGATGAGCGTCGAAATGGTTGAAAGCCCTAGCGTTTTATTGAAATATATAGAATATAGATTTTATTGAAATACCTATAGAATATAGATTTTCTCTTTTGTTTATTCTCAACTAAAATTTTACACGAATATTCGAAAGAATGCAGACCACTGTGGTGAACCACGTTCGACCCAAGCCAGGTCATATATCCAATAAACGAATATATCTCTAAAAGTCGCACGAACCATGTGGCTTTCTCTCTCTTTTCCTCTCTTTCTGTCTTTTTCTTCCTCCCTTGCCATGGAATTACGTTTTATTTTCCTGTCTGCGCGCGGACCATGATAAGGAGAGCTCGTGCCTCGTAAAATACGTATGCATAAAAAGCCCTGACCGCACCTGGCAGCCGTAATGCAAGGGCGTAAGGACCGCGGCGAGCAACCCATAAACCTGTCGCGCTCACGTTCGGTTATTGCTTATTCGCTGTGTGCGCAGAGACTAGTGCTGCCACGGTTAGTGAAATATCGCACTTTTTGATGGAATAGCTGTATGGAATAGCTGTCAACGATTGTGAATATTCGAGCTACGTGTAAACTGTCGTTAGGTAATTTAAATCTTAATTTCAATGATGATATTACAAAAATTATAGTTGAAAAGATTTTTCGAGAGAAATTAACCTACATTTGTTTTAAAGGTTAACCTTTTTCTGACTTTTTGCAATGAATCTTATTATACGAACGGGATTTGGACCTGTCACTTATGACATTAAATTTAATCCAAGTTCAATACCAAAAGGAAAAGCCTTAGCAATATCGCATGTGGTTCGCGTTGAAGAATTGCGTAATGAAAATATAAGCCATTTAATAAGGTGCAGTGTAATACCGCAAACATCTGTCAATGCTATTCCGTACAAGGTACAATTACATGTAAGTATATCAATATTAATGAAATTCAAGTCAATCGTAAATAAATAAAAAAACGTTTAAACAAGAACAAAAAATTATTGTTTTGATTATTTATTCAAAATACATTATTGACGCGTTTTTACACGAAACGAAAGAATCTGGAAGAAAAACGCGGCAGTCTGCCTTGCGAAGCGAGATATTAATCGTTAAAGTTGACAACTATTTAAGTTAGAAAACCTGTCATATCGATGAAATGTAGCGACATGTACATGCCCCGTAGTCACATGTCGATTAAGCATAATTTTATTGATATTGGAGGTGAGGCCCGTATTCTAAATAAATACCATTATTTTAAACGAGGTAAAATATGATCATATAATCTCAAAGAATATACTTACTTTATTTTTTGTACCCAACGTATTTCGCTGCTCAATTTTATAAATCGCTTTTGGAAAGGAATAAAATTTTATTTCTGAACTTGTATTGTGAAATACATTCTTACACGTGTTCACGCAACAATTTAAATTTCCTTTCCGCAATTTTTCCATTACGATGTATTAGAAAACTCCAGCAAATAGTGCAAATTCCGGCCACCATGGGCGCTCTAAGTCCTACTTTTCCGCTATAGTATACCAGCGCACACAGCGAATAAAGTTGCGAGACTGACGAGCGCACGGACGTGAGCGAAAACGCGGAGTTGGATGGACAACCCGATGACAGGGATCGGGCGAGAACGAATAAAAGCGTGTTTGCATGAGCATATAGGTACAAAAGAGCCGGCCGTCAATCCGAAACCGCAGCGGCCATTATCGGGCAATTTTAAACGGAACGCCGCGCCGTAGTTACGACTCGCGAGCGCGCGCTTCAGATTCTGCAGTCGTCAAACAACGCAACAACATCCCGCACCGTTCGCCGGCACTTGGGGGATCCGTGCAAACTGAGTGTCGGTACACAGGCGACAACAAAGGGACATGGGCAAAAACGCGTTTCCGAAAGGTGTACTCCCGTAAACCCCACACGGTAACTGGAAAAATAGAAATACGTAAAATGGTGCTAATAGTTTTTGTCACGTACCCGCAAGCCCGCAATCTTCTGTTTGTTATCCATGCTAATGAAATTTCCGTCCGTATTTGTCCGTGGTATATAAGAAATATTTATTCATGTTTCTCCCCGTTCGTAATAGGATCCCGCGCATTATAGTAATAGAATCTTGCATTTTAAAACCGTGAGCGATGGATTTCAGTAAAGGGAAGAGAAGGAATGTCATAAGTCGGCGGCATATGCTTCCTGAGGCAATGCATGTGTAATGCAAGTCAGTCGAATCGCAGGCATTACGCAGCAACTCTCGAACGAAATGCTTCTAATGGATTGACCAACTGACTTGCGTTTTTCGTTTGAAACCTCCTGCGAGTCATTTGAAATCCCATGTAAAAGCTGATGAGTTTAAAGCGCTGTGCGTGTCAGAGTTAAATGCATTCCGCTGACAAGCCACGCTCCTACGTGAAACGCATTGTTGTGTAGCATACAACTTGAATTATTATAAATTCCTGCTATGAGTATCGCAATTATTATTTTCATTATAAAATTTTTTTAACGCAATGCATTCACGTAGCTTTATATTATTATACGGTTACGGAGCTTAAGTACGGCGCTGTGAACATCTCAAGCACGTTTCATTGACATGGATTCTGGATAATTTGCGACAGTTACGTCAAGGGGAATTATATGTGACTGCGGAAGCGGAGGTACAAGAAACGAGCAATTATGGTCAAGATCTTAGATAATTATATTGGAATTACGCGTCTTGCAAACGTTCAGGTTACCATTCTACCGGCTCCGGGTCCTTTGATAT